TATATATATATATATATATATATATATATATATATATATATATCGAGCTCACAGGCCCGGAGGTACTTCTTCACAATCATAAGGCACTTCAACGATACCTGAAGGTCCTGCCTCATCCTCAGAGTCCGGTTCACCGTCTGCAGTGTTGGTCATCTCCTGAGTAATGCGCGAATATCGAGCTCGGGGTACGTATTCCGGATCATCCACCGGCTTAGTTTAAACCCCCTTCTGTACGAGCCCACCATCAGGTCATCAAAGCGTGACGAGGCGATATATTCATCGACGGCATTCTTCTTGGCATCCTCGATGCCTTGAGAAAAGATCTTTGTCATCTCCCTAATATCCTCTTGAAGGTATTCAACCTGATGCTACAAATCCAGCCTCAGGTCTGCCATATGCTTCCCCACAACTCTCATAGCCTCGGTATCTCTCTGAGACCTCGCCAGCCTAGCCTGTGCAGTGCGAGAAGCCACCTCAGCAGCTCGAGAAGCCATCTTGGCAACGCGGGAAGCCTCTTCGGCAGCTCGCGCCCACCTCGAGCTCCTTTCCACTTGGGCCGCCAAGGCATGGATAGAAGAATTCACCTACCAAAAGGAAAAAATAACAAATGATCAAAAGAACGATAGCAAGAAAGATAATAGCAAAGAGCTCGACAAGAAATCGCTGACTTACCACCATGGCATGAGTGGCAGCACGACAAGCTACCTAGTTCAAAGGAAGCCCGGTCCATGCCGCGACCTCCTCAGGGTAAATGGCCTCCCTATTCTTCTGAAGACCGTGGTTCGGCGACAACACGCTTCTGAACCCGCCTTGGGCTCCCGAGCCTGGAGGCCCAGCTCGCGTATAAGCAGACTCAGAGTAAGCGGGAGCCCCCGTGTAAGTAGCCTCGGCGTAAGGGGCCCCTGCCGCTTCTTGTACTGGAGGGGCCATCTTGGGCTCCCTGGGCGGATCCACTGACGGGTAGTCCAGTACCTCTGGCTCCGCATCTCGAAGCAACTCAGCACGAGTTCGTTTGGTGACTCGCTTCCTCCTCTTCATGGCGTGAAATAGGTTGCCACCACAAGTCTTCTCTGCATCCATCACACCTGCAAAAAGAGCTCGACATCAGGAAAACGAAAGAAATGAGCAAAACAAAAGGCAAGCCTATGAGTAAGGAACCTACCCGAACTCAGACCGGCCTCGATGAGCTTGGCCTCCGTCAGATAATGGTGGCATTTTAGCCCAAGTCGTGCCCATTCCCAGAGGCCCTTCACCGTCTCCCTATCAAGCGTAACACCGGCATCAGGGGTAGCCATCCCCCACCCGGTTTGGAACGGCCACCCCATTGCACTTCACACCCTGAAGTAGTCTCCTTTCCACGCCGGGACCTTGTTGGGAAGATCGTGTAAAAGCTT